TTAGATCAAAGAACCAATAACCCAGGATAGAGAAAATGATGTCAACGAAAAAGATGGTGAGGAAAGTAAACTCACGTCTGGAATGGAAATAGACAATAGAATAAGGATTCTGTAAACTCCAATTAGAATAAGTTAATACCTTGCACAAATCTTCTTCTTCCTTCATCAACTTCATATAGTTTAGCTTCACAGACAAAACACCATATCAATTCTTCAGTAACATTTGGATTTTGTTTTATTGCCTTGTTTTATTTAATATTACGTATCAAATATGACTGATATGCTTTAACTAAATCATGATCCCATAATGCCAATATAAGTCTAATTCTTTGACCAGAAAGAAAAAAATAATAAGAAGAAATGGCTTGTTTGTTTGTGGCTGGTCAATACTGCCGGCCCTCCGCACGCGGAGTTGGTTCCTCTGTAATTAATTGCTGATTTTGGTTCCTCCGTGTAAAGTTTATGAACTTTAACATCCCTCACTTCATCCCTATGTACCACCTATTCCTCAACATCCAAAATGGATGCAAAAAGCATTATGGCAAGTCCCCAGTCACTCCTACAAAAAAAAACAAAACCATAAAAAGTTAAAACTAAGCACAATACANTGATGCAATAAGCATTATGGCAAGTCCCCAGTCACTCCTACAAAAAAAAACAAAACCAAAAAATGTAAAAACTAGGCACAATACAACACCTATCATAGGCTCATAGAAAAAACTAAAAATGATAGCTTTATTGCAGAGTTCACACCAATAAATTAGAAAAACAGGTCTGAAGTTCAAAACTCATCCTAATTGTTCTTGAAATATAACCATTCTATAGTTTACACTTTTCATCACCTTCCAAAGTCCTGCAAATCCTAATTCTTTAAATGCACGAAAATCCTAATTTTCCTCAATTTACTGTTCAAATTGTACAATATCTTGTAAACTAATAAAATTTGGAATAAGTGCCATTCATAAACAGACAACAGGACAATCCGTGCTATCACTTAATTAGGAACGAAAAAGCTATTTTTTTTTACAAAATTTGGGAAGAATCATCCGTTAATGAAAAATCTCATAAATTTATGAAGAGCAAGCAATCAAAGAGTTCAACTTGATCAACAATCAGGCTCCATAAGCGATATACTACATGAATATACCTCAAAAAATAGAGAAAAATCAACCAAATCACTAAACAGGTTAAGACAGCTTAAAAAATTAACCTTACTTTTGATAAAGAAATGTATAAAAACAGTAATAACAGAACCAAAATTCTTAAGAAATGAATTAATCTTTCCTAAAAAAGTCCTACCTGCCTTCTAATAAGATAA